CGTGATTGGTGACCTAATTTTTGCCTCCATTGCGTTGCCATTGTGATGGTAATGCGGCTCTATCATTATTGGTCGCGGTTTACACGCCTCAATTAACTAGTGTGATCAGAAGACACAATTATTGCCCTTCCGTTCGAGCAACTATTTAACAAGAGACTAACTTTTTCTCTTTTTTTCTAATCCCTCAACTTTAATAGAATTAGAATCGTGTCCCTCCAAGGACCCCCAACCCCCTCTCTAATCTCTCTCTCTCTCTCTCTCTCTCTCTCTCTCTCTCTGCCTCACCCACACATACACGCAGGCAGCGGCACAATAAGCGTAGCTCTGTGGTTAGACGGTTGCCTTGTCACAGAGCGAGAACACACTGCGGTCAAAATGTTGTCATCGCGGCCTGTCAAAACACAAACACACCGCAACATGCACCAATACTTTACGACAACTACTACTTGCCTGCCAACCACTTTTTTTAAATGTTAATCTTCCGTTTTATTTTCCCAGGATGCGGAGACAATCGAGCGGCTCAACGAGTCCGGTGAACTTAGGAAAATGCTCAAACCCTACAAGGTAATAAATGTTGATACATTGCATTTTTATATGTGAGTATTAACTTTGTTTGAGGGTAGAAAATATCACTGCATTTGCAAGGTAGTGTATAAAACCACAACACCGCACCTTCACAAAGACATTAATAGCGGTAAAGACTTTTTTGCTTTTCCATGATGTTTTCTCTCCAACCACAAAAAAAATATATTTGACATATTATCTTATACCTCAAAACACCTTGAAAGCATATAAAGAAATCGGTTAAAAGCCCCCAGTAATGATTCATCTAATATCCTTTAAAATCTTGAGAGGGGAACATAAAATTTAAAACAATCATCTGCAAACTGATTTTAGTCCACGCAATTCGAGCCGGTAAAGTGCGGGCGAGTAATGGAGATGTCCAACGATCCGCCGACTACTGGTAGCTACAACGGTTCGAGTTCGAACAGAGCTGGGCAGTGCAACAATAATTACGACGAAGCGCGGAAGGAAGCCGTAATGAGAGAGTCACACGGTTATCAGGGAAAGTCTTTGTGTCAAAGCTCGCGCCGCTCCCACCGATCTCACCGACACAAAACAAACACAATAAAACACCGACGCTACGTGCCGGCACACATACAGGACTAATGAAGCGTCAATAATTGGTTTTTGAATGAGAGCCTGCCTGGCATAAATGGGTGGAGACGTCTCTAGTTTGCCCCCCTGCTCTTTGCGTGAAACAGAATGTTTGCGTTTGTTGGAGGGACTAAACGCGGGTCATTCTTCCGCGACACAAAGGAAAAGCGAGATCAGTCGCGTGTCCCACATGCGCACACGCGTGCTCGTCACGAGCGGCTGACACGACGCTGTCCATACCAAATGTCGGCCCTCGGCCCCTCCTTACCCTGGCATGCCAGCCAGAAATGCGGGCAAACGGAACCGCTGGACATTCACAGCGAGAAAATAATAGAAATAAATTTTCATTTTCTGGATGGAGATTTCCCATTTCTTTGCCTGGATGGTTTCACTGAAAACGCAAGTGTGTGAATTTCACACACTTGTAGGTGCGTGGATGCCTATTCGTACACTTGAGGGGAGTAAAGGTGTGAATTTTCTTAAAAAATTTACCCACTTTTGCCTCCATGTGTATATACTTATGTCGTTCATACACCTGCAAGTGTACGACATTGACACACTTGGCAGCTTTTGCTTTTGCTCACAAACTGTGCTGTTGCAGAGTGCGGACGCGTGCTCCACGTGCGAGGTGTGCGGCGGCTACCGGCTGCTGCCCTGCGCCGTGTGCAACGGCTCCAAGAAGTCCGTGCACCGCAACAACTTCACTGCCGAGCTCGTCGCCCTGAGGTGCATGAATTGCGACGAAGTGGGACTCGTCAAGTGCTACGCCTGCTAAGCCAAACTTGGTCTCCAACAACGTTGGAGATGAGCGATGACACACAAAAATGAGTGTTTGAAGAAGCACACGATAAGAGACTTCTGGGATAAGCGACCGAACAAGTTTTCAACCTCCGCTAACATTTCGTATAATGTTGACGTTTTCTCAATGAAAACACAGGAAAGCACGTTATCATGTCTAGATGAAAAATATAGTTGTCCACAGGAACGCCTTTCTGGTATTTGGTTAAGTCTATCCCTCCGAATATTAGAGTCCACAGAAGAAGTGTTTAAAAGTAATTTGGAAACCATTTTTGTTTTTTTGAATCTCGTTGTGTGCTTGCTTCTTTTTATTTTACGTTTGCTTGAAAATGTCTATATGTGTATACCTTGTAAATACTGAGTCACTGTCTATTAAACTTCATTAAACGTAATGTTAGGCAAATACGTAGGTATTAAATAAAAATACAAAAACATTAATTTGTAACTTTGCGTCGGCCTGCTTCACCGCACCTTGACTGACAGGTGTGGAAAGCAGTCGCCGATACTCCGTGCTCATGAAATATAGTGTCTTCGAGGATCGGAGTATATCCCCTGCTATACTCCGCTCCACAAGATCGGTCACGATTTTTTAATACACGTAATAAGTTGTTGTTAGAACTGACTCTTTTGTACTGCCAACCAACATGTGAGAATGTTCCCAAATAACCTGTGAAAACTCAAAAACTTGCATGTTTCGGACTAAAATTGTATGTATTCTTTCTGTCTGGTTAGATTTGCAGCACATTAGATCGGGTCACGTTAGTGATAAATGAATTTAGTCCAACTCTTACAAGCAAGTGTATTCATTCTTGTTGGGCACGTGTTTAACTGTTTTCCAGTTTCGGCACCAACGAAAATGACAGTATATCGGGCATGCCAGAGCGGACGCTGTAGTGTTGCGAGATTCCATACCCTCCACGGCCGTTGGGGTATGGGGCCTTACGGGCGGAGGGAGTAGGCAAACCAACGAAACTGCAGCGTCCACTCTGATACTTCAGGTAGTAAGAGCCTGATAGTACAGTTGTCACATTGTGACTTGAATACACATCGCTATCATCCGAGTACATGTTGAGTATGTCAAGAAACCACCCTAAATAATTTATAGTATGTGAGTTATCCTGTCCTATTGGCGAGCGCTGTGTAAATAATCGCCAATACCCAGCGTGCCACTGCCTTCATAGCAATAAAAAACTTTGTGAATTCACATGAAAATTCCTTTTATTCTCCAGTACTATAGTAACAATCTGATTTCATAAGGATTAAAGCATCAGGTAGATTGAAGTTAGCAACAGACTGAGTATTTCTAGGTATTCAGCTTACACAAACTAGATCATACAAGTTATGTCCTCAATACAAAATTCTAATCTAAATTATTAATAAACAGAGAAAGACTGCGCATGGTATTGTGAAGCGTGTTTGTTCTCCCAAGGTCACCACAACTTTCCTCACAACTAATGTATACAAACTAAGTAATTTTATACTTCAGAAAACAAAGTTTTTAAATAGCGGGAATGTTTTTGAACAGTAAGAAAATATCTTTGAAACACTTACAGTGATAATAGAGATGGCAATACAATATACAGGGGGTATGAAGTACAAAACAGCAGCAGTTCTCATTGGTACGTGAACTGTTGGTACTTCATGTCACATAGTAACTGATGCAATAAAAACAAAAGAAGCACTGACTTATAAATTTGACAGTTTTTTCGAAATTGGCTTTGACCTAAGAAAATACACAAAACTCTTCCGCGGAGAACTTAGTAAGTAATTTGACACAGCTACGTATACAAACGTACGATTTACTGATATACTACGTGTCTATGTTTCCTTTTTTTATCCATAATCCAACTTTATTTGTAAAGTAATACTACTATCCCAGATGTGTAGTTTGCTACAGAAAATAAAAATACCGCTACGAAACTCTTATACTATCGTTTTTTTCCATCTAGTCACACATGAAAGCAGACTTGTAACGCCTCACAAGGAGAGATTTGGCATGTGGTAAAAAGAAAGGAGCAGGTCCACTTCGGACCGTACGTACACGCACAAAAAGACATCCACTTTAAATGACTTAAGGGCGACCCGCGCCTCTTCAGGAGACATACAAACGGTCTCTCACGAACTTCTTAGCTGCCCCTTCATCATCAGCCTGAAGGACATCCACAGGGTAAGAAGACATCCTCTTCAGGAATGACTTTTCAACAAGAAAACCAACACGCCGGCCCTCAGCGCCATTGTGAGCCGCTCACCTACACACACAAAAGAAATAAGCCGTAACTCTAATCTGAACGCCGTGGTCGCCTAGCTCGTCAAAATGTTAGAAGTCCTTATTTTTGATTGCTAACATTTTGACAAGCTACGCTACTAAGGCGTTAAAGGTGAAGTGTGCACTGATAAACTAAGTATGCAACTACAAGTGAAATACTTGCAGGTGCGCAACTGCGTAGTAACATATTTGCAAGTGTTCAACTCGGTAGCTGTAAGTTTGCAACTGTCCTGTTTAAAACTTCCCTCGCAGTAAGCGTTCAGTCTCAGGAAGCGTTCAACAGAGAAGTCGCAGAGGAGTTGCGCACTTACAAGTGCACAGCTCCCGAATTGAACACTTGCAAGTGCACAACTACGAATTTGAATACCTGCAAGTATTCAACTGGCATTTGCACACTTAAAAGTCTTAACTTTAACCTAAAATTTTTAAGATATTTTATTCAGTTCGCACAGTTTTTTCGCTCACCTGGCGCTGTTGAGACAGCTGAGCGACACGGAGGCGGTGTTGTCCGGCACCGTCTCCATCAGCGTGTACCACTGGGCGACTGGCTTGCGCGGGTTGTCCAGCATCTCCTGCCAGTGGTCACGGCCCACTCCGATGAAAGACGGCCCGATGCCGCAGCAACCCATCAGCTCGTTATGACCGATCCTGCGAATAAGTCGGACGCAATGTGAACGTATGCAACTCACAAGTTTGAAAACGAGAAGGAAATATTGTTTATTATACTACAGTTAATTATAAGTCAGTTTTTTGCATGAATGGACCACGCACTGGAAATGCAAGTGTGTGAATGTCGCTCACCTGCAGGTGAGCGACATTCACACACTTGCATTTCCAGTGCGTACTTTATGAAGTATAAATTCAATGCATAGCAAAGCCATCAATAGCATCTCTCTTTGTGGTTCTTGCCCGTGAGAATTGCGAGAGAGAGAGAATCCCTTCTGTGCTCACGTGTACCGGGTGAACCTGTAAATACGCAGCAGTGTTGCGGGATTGCATACCCAATACGCAGCCATGGCCCCTTACGGGTGTAAAGAGTAGGCAAGCCCGCAACACTGCTGCGTATACACAGTTACACC